GTTCACGAACGACTACATGTATATGAAACGCATGGCTACCAGCAAAATGAACACTCCTGACCAACATATCAAGACAATGAACCAACATATCAAGAAAATGAACGCTCCTGACCAACAACTCTCTTTTCAACCGATGAGGGGGTGCATCTGCTCTGGCTGGATTGATTGAAACCTTCAGCACTCCAACAAACACCATCACTGGTCATGTGCTACAGCTACATTTCTACATGTGGTTGATTGTGGGGAATATTTCAACGGTCGTAATTAGTGTTCATTATGTCATTGTTTTCCTGATGTTATAAAAAAAACCACTTAGACCTATAAAGCCGTGATTTTGAAGATTTAATGTAAAACGTTAACTTTTAAAAGACTAATAACGCCGGCCTCCTATATTTACTTCCTCGTTAGTTGTGTAAAAGAAAGTTTGCGTGATATTGTAGAAGCCTGGACAAGTGCACTGACCTAATCTATTGCGCATGCCCAATCGTAGTCTGTCGTCTCGAGACAAGGCAACAAACTTCTTCAGTTCATACCAAAGTGTCGCTTTACGTCAACTGACTCTTTGACACCAGTGTGAGAGACAAACTAATTCTAAATATAGAAATATTTTGACTTTTCAGTACTTGAACAAGGAACTAAGTACAAATGCAAGCAGATCAGGTCTAAAAATAGAACCGACAAAGGCACCGGTAATTAGTACAACACAAAGATTTTTGTGTTCGAAGCAAACTCCAAATCATACATCTTTAATGAGTCCCTATGAGCCGACAACCGCTTGAGGCTGGTTAATGGTGGTACTTAGAACCATTTATCCCGCCCAGTTTTTGTCAACACCACGAGGACACAAGTTAATATAGATTTCTCTTAGAGTAAGGTTGGACCATTTTACTCAATACATGGAAGTTTTTCGGATTTGCTTCAGGTAAATACATGTATGAAGGAAAACAGATGCATTTGTGACGTAGAATCTTTCATTGATGTCTTCCTCTCACACGATCTTAACACCAGACTTACTGCATGTGGTGTCTACGCTTCGTATGGTATAAGTAAAACATTAAACTTTGATGCAGACAAACTTTCATCATGATTTACATATTAAAGTAGGCCTACATGTGCTTAAATAATAGTTTGGAGTGCTCCTCCGAATAGTATGACGATCACAGAACTATAATTTTAATACAAGCAAATCTTTCATTTTCCCCCGTTCCCTCATTCGTAATAGAAACGTGTTTAATTTCAATTTTGTTGAAGTAAACTGATGGTGCCACAAGAGAAATATTCTCCGAGGAGGCGCTTTGGGTTTTGTTGAGTATGCTTTGAAGAAATTGAGGGGAATTTTCATCGCCATCGCGTCACATCCTCTGATTACATGGGTGTCTGGAGGGGGGCCCAGCAAAAGATTGAAAAAGAGGAAATGAAAAATAAACAGAACAGAAACTTTTTAAAAAGAAAGGTGATGGAAATCATCAAAGTTAATAAAAAAAAACTGTTTCAGCTGAAGAGTGTTTTGCCCTGGAAACATCCCTGCCCTGAAAGAAGGGGTTCGCCCCATCCACAAAAGAAAATCTTGGCGACACCTGTGTTTAATTATAGTCCTGCAAAGGAGGATTTCTGTTTAATTAAGAAGGTTCTGACAATAAGATACCGGTGTGGCGGTGTACATGTACTTGCATTTACGTGTCTAGACTAGTGGCTGCTCATTTCAAATCAATATATCAGTTTTGGACTGAGTATGTGCCGCATTTTTGAAGATCGAGAAATGCGTCAAGGTTTGTTACGGTACATTAACAGACAACGGTAGCAGGGAAGATGGGTCGATAATTGGAAGTCGTCCCCTTTAGAAGACCAAGTCAGGTCACAATGTCGGTTAGATCGATGATCACAGGGGTATTACTTGCCATATTGATTATTTACAGAGAGGCCCGGAATCGTTTTGACTGTTTAATGGTTTTCAAATGCTAGTTATGTTGTTGCACGATGGATGAATGCTGATAAAACATCCTTTGTGATATGAGAGAAAGACACGCCTGCGTTTATCCCGTGTGAGATTTAGATATGACACATAATATCCATTGCCGATTTTTAAGCGGAGTAAGCTTGTAATTACACATATTAGAGTCAGCTTCACAAATCCATTAGGGCAGATTTTTTGGGTACAAAAATACTAAATGCAAACAACTTTAAAAGTAATCGCGTTTATACTTTAAATTCCCTATTTATGAAAATCCCCGAAAATTACAAACAATTTGTGTTGCTCTTCAGGACATCACTGTTATTAAGAGTTCTGTTTTCAGTGAAAATTGTTTAAACAATACTGCATTTCGTGGAAAACAGTACAGAAACACACCTTTGGTAAGTATGTTAATTATAAGCAAAGTTACCTGATCTGATTCAGCCGGTAGAGTGTATGGAATGTTCAAATCACTCTGGTTACTTTGAGATCTTCCCCTCTGCTGTTCTTGCTCCCCGCCCCTTGATGGGTCATCTTCATTGGTACCCCTGACTCGCTCCACCGTTCTATACCCGCTGATGGCCGATTCCACCAAGCTAAACTCCGTGTCTGGGAGCTCCGTTGTCTCATCCACAAATCCCTCCCGTAAAGCGGCCCAGGCATCCGTCGTATCCTTGAACACGAGAGTCCGTGAATCGTCCACCACCTTCTGCTGACGAGACCCCGTCTCTTTCTTGCTGGACATGTTCCTCAAGTCTTCCAGTAAGGCCTGAGATTCTTTCCTGACCAATTCTGTCTCCTCGGCGACCGTTTCAATAGCAGGTGCGGAGTGGGGTTCTTGCAACCTGTCGTCGGCAAGCCTCGTTGAGGCATCGCGGCTAGTTTTCCGCATGATTGTTACCACCTTTGCAGCTCGGCGGAAGTTGTCGATAGGAGCCTTCTTCTCATCTTGCTTACCTTTTCCGAGTGTGACACCCATGTTCCAAGTTTAACCTAAACCTCAAGAGTCTCTTGTTCCATCCACTAGGCCTAAATCCCAATATATCCAACTCCGTTTTAACTGATCCTTACGCGAACTTCGTTCTCGTAAAACAGGAACCAGAAGCAAACTTGAAACTATCGCCAAACAGTCCAATTCTAGTAAGTTTTCTATGAATGGCAAGTCGATCTTCAATCGACCAGGGAACCACATGTACATGTATTCTCAAAGTATTTCATGATCTTGTCCCATGTAATCCAGGAGTCTCATTACGCCAGAGGAACATACGACGCTTCACTAAGTGGGAGCAACAAGTGGCATCCGCTTTTCACGGATCTCGTCAAATACGCACAGAAATCACCAGTGGCATTGCTCAAACAATCCCTTCTTTACCAAAGCACACTCAAGCTGGAAAAACCGGCTAACTCATATCAGACAACACCGCAAACTCATCCTTGTTCAAACTGACCAAAATGTCGGTCTCACCGCGTCGGGTCGAATGGACTGTTTACCGACTCCTAGCAGCAATGTTTGGGGATTCTTTGATACCGGTGAAGTGTGTGTGCGTAATCGGTGAATACAAACAACTAGGGAGTCCCAAACAACTGTGTTGGGAAGGCTCAAAGTACTGTTGGTCCAGCCTTGTCATGGACCGCGACGCTGTGTGGTCATCACTGCTTGGCTAGTCATTCATTACAAGTTGGTTTTAAAAACATGGGTTTGTCTCTATTGTTCACTGAGGTCCTTGACCAGTACAAAAGACACGACTCGTCGGCCTCGTTCGCTGACCGCGGTGAAAAGGCATGAGGCCAGCCTAGAACCTGTAATGAACTTTCTTAACAGTTTGCACTTCGTGCCTTATTCCTTTCTCAATGGCTGCATTACGATCTTTGGGCTATACCAACTTCCTGAGTCTGGTCCTAGGTGACATCGAGGGGCCAAGCTGGACACCAAGAGGAAACCGATGGTATCGAACAGTCGCATAACAATGTTGCAGTCGCGATTACCAAGTCTTATTTGACAGGATTAGCGTACTACAAAGAGCAGTAGTACACGACTGGTGCCATACTGATCACTTTGAATAGAGATTTACGAACTCCTGACGTCAGTGCTAAGAAGATAATCATTTCATCAATCTGAGCGCTGCAGAGGAGCAATGTGTATCCATCAACTACCGTAATCACTCACACATATCACTATCAGATGGCGAGTATACTCCACAGATAGCAGAAAGGTTCTTTCTTGTTCAACTTCTCTTTCTCGTGTAGTGCAGTGAACTTTTTCCTCCAGTATTTTTCATGACTACAGGAATCCAGTGGTTCAGGTTTTGAATTCTTTTGAAGTTGCAAAGCTAATTCGAACAAAGTAAACAAAAATGCAGTCTCCTCGAAATGATTACATGTATCACACACAGTCCATGTAAGGTTTATTACGGACAAGGCCGGTTCAAGACCCAGGGGGGACGTCCCCGGTGGAGTTTTGCATTAAGTGATCGCGCCAGTCAATTAAGCGACTGCTCAGAGACTGTTTCCTGAGCAAAATGGCTCTGTCCATACAAAGCAACCTCCATTTAAGCAAGGACCGCAGAGTTTATAGTCTGATAAAAAAAATGAAAGACTCTACTAGTCGTGAGACGCAGAAATTAATACTAATAACTTTTCAAGCAATCTTCATACTTTAAGATATTCAGAGGAAATTACAATTCTATAAAATATAAAATCATTTCTACCTATGTACATTTATATTTAAAGAACGACTGTCAAAGCAGAATTTCAGAATTTTTAGAATAGGAAAATAGACATCAAGTTTGGAATAGTTGAAGCTACGTTTAAATACATTTACAGAGTTGGTTGACAAGTTTTAAAAGTTCAAGCTATGTAAGATAAAGCTATACGACATCCCTACTCTAGGCCACACATGGCTCTCAAATGCTCCTTTGAAGGGAGTTGCGTACGTAACTAAGCATGCACTTCAAACCCATGTATGTGGACATCTCCAGCGGAAGATGCTTTTTTTTCCTTATTAACTAGTTCCTCGGCCTTGCCAGTTTTTTTTGGGGGGGGAGGGGATGCTCCACCAAAGTCCAAGAAAGAGTGAAGGCTCAAAGGCGCCAGGCTTTCTTTGTATGTTAACTAGTTTCACTTATTTTTTCCCTTCTTTGATGTTGAAGATTCCCGCTCCATATTGGTCAGAACATCACACTGTAAAGTGTTAAGCCAATGAGGAGAGGTTTCTCGGTTTGCAAACTTAAAGGCCTACAAAATTCTGGAGAGCAGGAATAAATCAGATGAACTAGAGAGCGGCACATGAACCCCAGCTTCTAGGCAAACCTTAAATAAAATTCCCAGTAAGCACTGTGTTAACAGATCAAGGATCTCTCTTGCTCTGGCCCAAGGAATATGAGGCATTTCAGCATCTGAGTGGCTTAAAGTTTCTTCAGGTTATTAATTGTTGCACTGTTAGTGGAGTTTATGGGAGACACATACTTGTTTCTTTTGGACTAAAACCTCTGGAAGATCTTTGATTTTGCTTCTCGGATCTCGAATTCTCTGTAAGTTCTGAAATTCTGGTTCTGGAAAAGGTTGATTGAATGAATAATGGACTGGCATCTCAAGGGCCAAGCTACACGTAAGGCAAGTTCTTTCTGAGTCTAAGCATAAGGGATCCCTCTTTGCATCAGCAAGTTGGATGAACGCGAGATGTACCAAAGCTTTCAGCCAAGGCAATTCCTAAAAATAAACTTCACCTCAAGAAAAACCTCATCTCTCAGACTTACTAGTCTGGCTACAGGACCAGCAGTCTACAAAGGTAAGGATCACACCAAGGCAAGCTTTTTGACATCCACAGTAAGGCTTAATTTCTTCTATTTCTACTTTGGCTCAGGAATGAGTGGGTTTACAAGCCAAGCCATGCTTCCCGCATCTCACGCTTCTCTTGGCTTCGCCTAGTACTGCCAGCTTGGTTGAGTGTGTGATGGACCAGCTAGCCTAGGATACCCTGCTCTCTGCCGTCTTTGGATCGGAGGGTCCTCATAGGTATTTCCTTCACGCTCTTTCATGCCAAGCATTCTCCTCAAGGAGGCATTCTCCTCTCTGTATCTGCATCCAAACATCAAGGAAGTACACATCAATTCAAGATTAAATTTATTAATTTTTTTTAACCAGCAGAGCATCTAAGAAAGAAGGCCCCAAATTTCAGTTTGTTTTGTAAAACAAATACAATACGCTCACTTTCATGACAAATTGAAGTGAACTAAGCCTAGGCTCTTCCCTACAAACTGTAAGTGCCCCTACAGAGCACTGAACATCACTGAAGAACATAAGACACTAGTATGCAAGAAACAATTTACCAGGCCAAAGAAATGGCATACATGGTTCACGAGAGAAGCTTATTTGCTTGATACACCTTGGCTTCATGAAAATAGCAGCAGCCCAACATTTTCTGAGAAATGCTGCTTGACTTTTGCAAAGGATGTGGTTTCAAGCCACATCCAGGCAAAAACAAAGTGGTACCAAAGTTCGCATCTAGCCTAAAAAATCAAATCTAACCATCTCAGGGATCATACATCCAATACAATTTTGGCTGACATAGTTCCTGTCTGGCAACGATCAATGGTCTTACTTGTTGAAGTGTCTGTTAATGTAGTCATGGCATTCAGCAAGTTGTTCTTCCAGGATGGCATTCATGGACATCAAAGAGGCTCTCTCGGTCTCTAGCTCTTGCTATCAACAAACAAAAACCAGCAAAAACAAGTGATTCATCTCTGGAAAGAAGACAATACCGCTGTCAAAAGGACCTGTTATTAATCCTATGCACTGAACAGGAGTCAAACTACTTCCACCTGATGGCAATGCCAACAACTGAGCAATTTCACAATTGTTTGAGGATAATTTCGATACCCAAGACCTTACATACTTAATGGAGAATACTGACCAAACATAATTTGGGGTCAAATCAAATTAACCATGCTGGGAAAAGGACTGAATGTACCTCCCATGACAATCAAAGGAAACAACAAAGAAACTGACTTGAGTAGGATTCGAACCTGTCACCTTAGGAAATATTTTCAAAGGCAACAGGACCGACAGAAGAAATTACCTTCAGATGAGGGGAAATATTAAGGCAAGACAGATGTAAGATGTCCACAGAAAAGATTCTTAGGGAAGTTGAAGCATTATTTGAAGGTCAGAATCTTCTCACCTGTGTCTTACTGGTAAATTCTCCCAGCTTTTTCTGTAGTTCATTCCACTCTCCGCTGTCGTCTGAATCGGCAGGGCTGCTTGCAAAATAAACGAGCAATGAAAACTTGGATTCAAGAATACGCAATATAAATAATTCATAGCTACATAGCTCAGAGACAAAAACATTACATGTGACAAGTTTAAACTGTCCCTTATCTGGGAACCTATGTGACCCGGTACATCGAAATCAGGAATAAGTCGCAAACTGACTTTTTAAGATATGTATGCAGTCAGAAAGAAAATTTATCAAGCTTTCAAATGGTACATATTACAAGTGTGTTGATGGTGACCTTTCATACATACACTTCCAAAATATACAGAAACCGCCACATCGATTATGTCAACATTTACCCACATCCCCATTTTACTCGGCCATTAAGTCAAATGGCCTCTGTGACTTATTCCTGATTAAGATTTACCGGGTCACATGTCCCTGTTCTGGTAGTAGACAATTTTGCACAACAGCAGGAAAGTCATGGATGTTCTTGTATACGATTACCTTTGTTTTTTCTGTGCTTCTAATAAGGCTTCAGTCAGCCGTCTGATCTCACGTCGATTAGCAGATTCCACCTCGTCATCTTTAAGAGTTAGTTCTCCTTCCTGAGGGCCCAGATCAGCATCGCTGATGTCTCCTTTTTGTACCTGTTTCCTCAGGAATCTGATTTGTGAAAGGACAAAAACCACTGTCAACCTTATCGCAACACTGTGGCAAGTCATCAGACTGTAACATCCTCCAACAACAAAGCTTACAGCAAATAACACCTAGTTGTGGTAGACTCTGGCCTTCTGGAATGAAAATCATTGCCAAAACATTTGTTGGTATTTTACTTATTATTCTATCGTTATTTTGTGTTTTTCCATAAAATATAACCCAAAAAATATGAACTGATCAAATGTAGGACAACTAACAGGAGGACCCAAATAATTTCATACAGGGCTAGGGCCCTGCATTTCCACCAGCCACTTCCTCAAAGGTATCCCTCTGACACCCATAGTTAACCCTAACTCCCTAGGGTATGTGCAAAATCATATTAAAATTGGAGGATTTAGGGCTGTTAGGGGTAAAATATTCTTTTAATATGTCTTGATAACCTCAAACACTTGCTACACACCAAGGAAACTACCTTAAGGAAAACAGGTTCATAAGCCTATTTCGTAGTAAAGCCAAGTTCTGGACAAATTGCTAACATCGCTGTGAGACTTGGACCTACTTGTTGATTTCTGTAAGCTGAAACAAACATAGACCGAGTGAGACAGGAGGATGGAGCTACCTGTAAGCCACAAGGAGCTGCTCATGCTTTTTGCCGATGGACTGCATCTTCATCTTGAAGTCCCTGGCTGCTTCACTCAACTGTTTCTCCCGAGCCTTGTATGTCTCCTTCATATCCTTTATCATACTTCTCACATAGTTGGTGAGATTATCCTCCATCTTGCGATTGAGGGTCGCGTCCCGGTCATCCACAAATTCCTGCAAAGAGGTTTGATTTGAGAGTAAATATACCAATAGTTACAACTAAAATTTACTTTATATTATAAAAACTTCTTTGAAGTAGTCTTCTCAGCTTTCAAACGGTCCGTGCTTCTTCTACAAGGACATTGGGGTAGCCATTGTTGGGGGTAGCCATTGTTAGGGGTAGCCATTGTTGGGGGTAGCCATTGTTGGGGGTAGCCATTGTTTGGGGTAGCCATTGTTGGGGGTAGCCATTGTTGGGGGTAGCCATTATTGGGGGTAGCTATTATTGGGGGAAGCCATTATTGGGGGTAGCCATTACTGTGGGTAGACACCTGATCTCATTACATTCTTCCCTTGTACAGGTCCTGTAAGTTTGATTTTTTCCCATACATCGTATTTTGATTGCAAGTGAAGACTCCATCTTTAATCATAAACCATTCCTATGAAAAGCTTCTGTCAGCAATCTGGTCTAGCCAAAGACTTTGAAATGTTGACAGTCATGGATTTAGGATGAGGTAATTTCTGGAGAGATTCTACTCACAGCAATATCCTCCAGATACTTAGTGAGGCGAGACCTCATCTCCTCATTTTTCTCCATCAACTGGGTCTGCAATCGGCTATTGGCAACAGCCACTTCTCGGGCCTCTTCACGAGACGAGATAAGCTCCTACAAACAAGGCACAAAAGAAAAAGAAAGATACTTCTTGATTCTGGCTTCATCACAAACCAAGAGATCCCGACATCAAAATGCTCACTGAACCTAAAAACGAAACCCACCACATCTTGTTGAGCCAGCTTGCGTTGATAGTCTCTTGTTATCTGTCTGCCATTCCTGAGTGCTGCATTCAGCTCCATTCTTTGGAGGAAAAGAAGAACATTTCATGTGGACCACTCTTTAGTAGCAACATGAGCTTCACGATCATCAACAATTAATCCACTTTGAGTCTCCTCTCCCGTTCAAATAACAAAGAAGTCCAATTTTTGTTTCTGGAATCTTCGACAATGCAGTTGTCAACTTACATCCTGCTCTGCAGCTTGTCTTGTTGTTGATCATACTGGTTTCTCATCTGGTTAAATTCACTTCTCATTCTCTCTTCATCTCCAAATAACTGACCAAAAAAAAACATCAAAAAGTTTGATCAAAAGAGTCAAAGATTTAATGCCTTTCCCTTTGCATGCAGACACATCAGAACAACTTTATCTGGAGTGATTTCTCACACAGAGTTTATAATAAAGGTATGCATGTACAACATACTGACTGATATTTCTAACTGTGGAAACGGTGAAAAATAGGCTACGGTACAAAAACCGATTAGCATGCACCTATGAAGACGGACAAGTTGAATGAAATGAGTGCCATCGTTTTACCTTGTTCTGCAGTTCCCGTCTGTCCAAGTCTGATGCCCCAATTTCATCGGCCTGAAAAGAACCCATAAGACGAGGAGACATGGAATTAAAGTGTCTTGCCTAAGGACACAAATGCATTAGGTTTGTACCACAAGACTACCAGGCCGTGAAATTAAGTACACATCGCAAGGTATTCCAGGTGCTAACATCAATTTTTGTCACGCTACATTTTGGGTGTCTTAACTTCTACTGTATTGTCACGACTGCACAAAAATTAAAAGAATGATTCAAAAGTACAAGAAACAATACTAAATAATTACTACACTATCACTAATCAAGCATCCTTGATGGTGCCGGGCATAAAATGTCCACTCTGGCCAGCACAAGAACAAAGCCCGGAGTTAATCTACAAGTTTTCACAAGATGATACTCACTCGTTCTTTCTTGCTGCTAAGTCCCAACGCAATGTCCCTAGCTCGTCTCAATTCCTCCGCTGTCTGTTCTCTCTTGTGGTCTGAGGCTAGGGCCAAGTTCTCTTCTTGCTTGAGGAGAGTGACTTTGGCGTTCAGTAGGTTCAGTAGTTCCAAGCCCAACTCCTGGTTACGGCTGACCTAAAACAAAATCATTTATTTGAGAAGTGAAGAAAGAATTACTGTGAAGTAATCTCAATACTAGCTCAAGGGTTTTGGAGGATTAGAACACTTTTTAGCAAAAATAGAGTAAATTAAAGTGTTCCATTTGCATAGCATAGAAATATGTCGGCATTCCTTAAGATACGCTGCTGACCTCCACTGTGGCAGTGTTTCTGATGCAAAGCATTGGGCAGTCATATTAAGTGAAGAATGAAGGATTCAACAGCCAATCCTCACGTCAGACTCACCTCACTGTCATATTTTTCGGCCAAAGCTGCGTAGTCAGCTTTCATCATGACGTACTTGTCAGCTAGCTCTTGTCGTTCCCTCTCCACTAGGTCTAGTCTCTCATGGAATAGCCTAGTCTCCTTCCCAAGCCGCTCTTTTGCCATCAGGACTTCTCTGTAATCGCTGTCTATGGACATCAGCTGTGCAAATATGCAGTAATTCAAGTCAACCTTTTCAGAGATGAGTGGTCAAATTTCTAAACCTTATGTGTTCATCCACTTGATGAATTGCTAGGGTGGCATGGATGCCTAGTGCACAAAGCATCCACCTCTCATCACGGTGGTCCTGGGTTCCAATCCCAGCCTCGGACATGTGTGACTACAGATTTCTGCTTTGGTTTTACCTTATATCACAAAAGTTTTTCTATGGGTTCTCTGCTATTCCTCCCTCCGCAAGAAACAAGATTCTGGCTGTGCTGCGTCAGCAGATTTGGGTTGTTGGGGGGGGTGTAGTTTAATGTCTCCAGTGCAAAGCACATTTGATACATGGTTGCACGAAATTTGCACTTTTTAAATTAAAATTATTATTTAATATTGTTTGGAAGATTTTCCGAAAGACCGCTCAAAAAATTGGTACTTCGGAGTCCAAAAGGTGTACAATCAAAGGTATTTTGCTATTTTTGTTTCCAAAATACATGCTCCTGAACAAGAACATCCTTTTCTCAAATACGGATCATGCAAATCAAGTTACACTGTAAAGATGTACATCTTACTGACATTACCAGAAACCAATCAATTACCTTGTTGTTCAGCTCAAATATTTCCTGAGAGGCCTTCTCCTTGATGCGATTATTCTCAATCTGAAGATCCACAAGCAACTTAGAAACCTACAAACAAGTATAAAAGATGGATACTGATTACACCTTGGGACTTTAAAAAAGAACATTACTTTGAAAAAATTCTGAATAATTTGGGCAAAACCTGAATAAAACAAACAAATAAAGTGATATAAAAGTGTCAGAGTGGTGCTACAAAAAAACAGCAAACTCACTGGACAAAAGCAAAATGATTTTATAGAACAGAAAAAATAATCATCAACATGACTTTGGGTTCATAAGAGACACTGACATCCCTGCCTCCGGGCAATACTGACCCTTAGTTTCTCCTCCTCAGAATTGATCAGCTTAGCTGATAAATCTGTCTTCACCATGGCAACATCACCAAGACGACTGTCAAGTTGGTCTAGCTTCCTCCTAAGGTATCCTTCTTCTTCTTTCAGCTTCATCTTTGAGAAACAGATAAAGGAGGTCAGAGGTCAAAGACGACAAATCAGAAGACTATAAACGATTATCTCCAGCACAAAAACTTGGAGAAATTTTCAAAATCTTAGATCTGGTTCAAAGTCAATATCTTAGAGCACGTTATCATTCTGACACTCCTTTGCTATCAAAAGGATGACATACAAAAGCACAGTTTCATCGATTCTCTATAAAAAAAAAATTCAAACTTCCAAAAGCAAGGGCTAACATTTTCTTTTGTCAGCTTGGCGTTCTTCCCTGCCAGATCGTCAGAGTCAAACACGGCCGGTGCAGAAGGGCCAGGTAACTGTGACTGCTTAATGAGAAGCTGGGCTCGGTACTGAGTGATCAGACCCTAATGAGATCATGGAGGCAAACAGAGTAAGAAAACAGAAATCAGCAAAGTGGGTTACACATCATCCACAAGGCAACTGGATGTAAGTAGTGAAGTCAAGCTAACAAGTGTAATCTGTAGGACAACCACCAAAATAGACCCATAGTTCTAGCTGAGACAGGACTCCAGACATCATTTGTTTTAGTCTTTAATAGACTACAGGCGCAGTCGTCAGAGGGTGCTTATGATCCTGTAATGACATTCTGTGACAGGTGGTGTTCACACCCTATAGATACTAAACCCTATTCACATGGAGGCCATTTTTTATCTTATTCCCAAATCTGTTGTATATATTGCAAATTTTCGATTAGGATGGCACCAGACTGTTTTATACCTCCGTGCATTCCCAGCCTCCCTTTCAATAATTTTCGGAATCTGGCAAGGTACAATTCTATGTGTTCAATCATGAATTTGAAATTATTCATCAGAGTAGACAGGTGCAAATTTGTTATGAAATTCCATTTGATTGCTTTCATTTGTACTAGCAAATATTCAAAAATAAAGAGTTAACCTCACTTTCAAATTTAACCTGGCTGGCCCCGTGAATAAATTCAATTAAGTCTATAGAGGCACGTAATTCGCACATGCACAGTATACGCTGTGAATGGGTCTATGAAGTGAATGGGCATTTTAACAAGATGGCCTTTTTGGATAGCACTCCTCGATTAATCCATTTTCTTTATTGAACACTCTCAAATGGAGAGAGTCTATTTTGCTATAGTTACAGGTTTAGCCTCACTCATTTCGACAATAAGGGTAAAGTGTCGTCCATCTACAATTCAGAACTACCCTAAAATCCAAGCCTAAGATTGGTTTATCCCTTCTTCATCATAATCACTGCACTGTCTCCTCTCTAAAGATTTCTTAAGGTTTGTCAGGTACAGTGCCTAGAGTGCTTTTGAAGAATTTTTGGTTTCATTACCAGAGAGACTTAATGATATAATAATAATAACCTTCATTTCCACATGTATTTAGTCTTTCCAAATTATCTCCAGGGATTGTCTCACTTGTGATTCAAGATGGCTGACTCATGAACAACGCCATCCCTTCAGGTGGGTGTTACACGTATTGATGCATAAATTGCACTCAAAACTTGGCCCAACCTCTCTCTTTGTGACCACAAGAGGGGGTACTTCTGCACACACACACACACACACACACTCCAGCACTTAAGAGTCCATCCAGTGTGCTCTAGTTTATCCAGACCTTGACAATACAATCTTCCATCAAGAAATCTACCATTGTAGAATCAAGTGAGTCACATGCATACCTGTGCTGCTGTGTCATTTAACAAGAAGAAGTTTGTGATCTGCCCAAAACATTCCGCAGCGTTCAGCACCGCCTGGGTGATCCTTGCATCAGATCGTGGCTTCTGGTGAACTATGACCTTGGTGTTACAGTTACCTCCCAGGGCATCACGTAAAAGATTGGTCAGCTTAGAGGCCCTGAAATCCAGTCAAAAACAGGTCCTTTCAGACAGACTACGACTTGCAAAATTGAAGAAAAACAACGAATATAGCCCATAACGTAGGCATCTTTGCATGCTATACTTCCTGTGAACTGTCCAAAATAAAAAAATGACACAAACTATACAAGGAACTGACTAAGTGCTTTTAAATGATAATAAAGATGAACAAAAAAATTGACTGGTGCGGGATTTGAACCTGCGACCTCTGGAACACCGTGCCAGTGCTCTACCAACTGAGCTATCCAGCCCTTTGTTGGTGGCTCTTCCCAACTGTCAATATCTTTGTTTGGGGGGAGCTAGCCAGAAGCCATTAAACTAAAGATATTGACAGTTGGGAAGCGCTACAAACATAGGGCTGGATAGCTCTGTTGGTAGAGCACCGGAGGTCGCAGGTTCAAATCTCAATTTCTTTGTTCATCTTTATAATCAAAATCAAAACAGTTTGAAAACAGTTGAGGCACGAAAGCTCAGGAGTCAAAAACCAATGATAAATAGTAGCGGGTCTGTAGTCCTAAAGTCATTAAAATCTTGAAGAAACGGATGTTGGATTTTGATAGATTCAAGATTACGACTCATCCAGCCCACACATGCCATGTAGAAGAAAGCACCCTCTTTCACGCTGTTGTCTTGGCTCCATGACCTTATCATCAACTGAAGTCATGTGCCAGTGTTTGTCTTATCCACTTGATGCTGGGCAGTTTGAAAAATGCAGTGCACATAATCAGGACTTTTTCAAGATTTTCAGGTTTCAAAATTCTTCAAAAATTCATCATTTCAATTAATGGACGTTTACATCCACATGAATTACTGTCTGGCGGCCACTCTAGTCTGACAGAGAAATTTATTGACGCCCGAGTATTTCAGCCAGGCCTGCAGCCTGAAAGAGTCCAAAATGTGCGGTGTTATGTAACTTTCTTTTGTTCACAAACCTGGCACAGTGCGCTGCTGACCTCTTTTCAATAGGGGCCAGATTAGCGTGCAGCGATGCTGTGTGGCTCGTCACTGCCTTGGTGGAGCGCTTTTGTCCCTGGTGGTAATCCGCTCCCACTAAATCCCCCAAACCGTGGTATACTGTTTCAAAACAAGGCTGGATTATCTTCACTACTGAGAGTAAAAAAAAGTCGGTAATGCCCAGCAGCTCAGATTTTGTTCCGAGTACGGTCTTTTGTTACAAGGCCCAGTTCCCTTTGTCCGATTTCGGACACCCTGGCCACACGTATAAACACATGCATGTTGCCCGAAACCGGAGTCCCCGGCGGCAAGTGGTTATAGAAGTCTGTTTCAAGCTAAAACCTTTTTACAGAGCTTATAGATGGAGAAATCCCAAACATCAGTTAATACACAGAAACAGGCTCTATCATGAGACTTACTCATATGATAGGATTCTTGCAGCCCCAGGTTTCCTGGCTAATTCTTCGATCAAACTTCCCAGAGCTAGAAGGGACTTATTAAGCAAGGTCCCTTCCATTCTCTTCAAGGCCTTGGGATCTGCAGCTAGTTTCTCAGCTCCGGGGAGATCCACAAAGGTGAACGTTGACTTGTACGGATAGCCATACTCCTCTCTCTCCTTCCAAGAAAAGTTGATGAAATCGTTTTTGTGAATAAATAATAGTCTTAATGGCTGTGATAACTTCTTTTATTGGGTTTAAAAGAGAGGCCAATTTCTGAACAAATCTTATTTGTGGGGTAAATCTTTCCAATAGCCTTTACAAATTAAAATATTTCTGAAGTCTCACGCACAGCAAAAACCCTGAACAAAATATAGATGAGAGAACCAAATTCTTAAGAGAGGTACCCACAATGTTTATATAGGCCATGAAATGGAAGTAATGTTTCGACAGACAACATAACCTGTGTCATAAAATCTTAACTCCAATCCACCTGACTTGAAGTGCACCCTCACAGGCAGAAGAAAGACAGCCTGATGCTAAGTTTTCGAACCGGGCTCTTGCACGTGATTGGGGAGCACACAAAGACCATACATTCCAGAATAAATTGGTTGTGTGTACTCTATAAACATGCTCCTCGTCAAACGCGCATAAACTTGTGCGTCTATACAGTGAGTTCGTACCAAAGGCTTTCAATTTCCTTTAAAAACACACTGTCTTTTATTCCCCGGTTAGAGCAGATTCTGAGAGGAAATGACAGAGGTAGGGGGAATCTTTACATACTTGTATGAGATGGATCCTAGTCACCACTGTCGTTCTGGCACCAGCCTCTCCGTAATCGGTGTTTTGAGTGTTCTGCGCCAGCCAACCACTGTGGAATATTGACAGGGAGTCTGAAGCACTCATAACAGGGACTTCAATCAGATTCTAACAAAGGAAAAAAGTTCTGAGGTTATTCTGGCGGTTCTAAAATTCTTCCTAAGAAGTCTCGATGTAGCTACCACTCAGAAGCAACAAGCCAAAATTTACTCTTCAAAATGCACAAACTTTCTCTGTGACACTGACTTTGTGCATGACCGAGTACGGTAATCCATGGTGTTTTCTAAAACCTTGGTTGTGTTTCTGTCTTTGGCAACAGACTTCCATGTTATGAATTCAATCCCAGGTCTGAGAACCTTTAATCATGTTAATTATAAGCTCAATGTAGCTCCTTTTTTCTGCTACAAAAGCATCTCTGTATACCATGGAACGCCGCGATAACGAACACAACGGGGTCCATGCTAAATGTTCGGTACAGCGGTCATTCGGTATGGCAAAATTAACTACCAACTTTCCGTTGCCATGTTGAATAGCGCCCTCTCTTGTCTAACTGAAGTGCACCCTCTTGTGATCCTATGATTCGCTGTTTTCGTGATGTTTTGCCGTTGCATTCACGTTTGAGGTTTCAAGAAATGTATCTGGTAATTATTTTTGTTTTTTATTAAATCTTGAGGTAAAAAATTGCTATTTAGTTTATCCTAAAAGTAATGAAACTACCACTCAATATCGATCTCTGAATCTTTGTTAATTTGCAACTACATAATGTCCGGTAGGTTTTGTGCACAAAATATTGGGAGCCAAGGACGATGTTTGGTACAGCCGAATGTTTGGTATAGCGGTGTTCGGTATAGCGAAGTATAAAGCCAAGTATAAAAGTACAATTTGTAATTTTGAACCCACAGCAAATGTTTGAAACCAATTATGCAGCTCAAGCTCCAGACAGAAATAAAGAAAACAGAATTTAGAAAAGGCCACAGATGAAACATGGCATCAAAGGCTGGATATTTACCTTCACATAGACTCCATCTTCAGCAGTAATACCAAGATCACACACAGCACTATGTCGGTCAATACTCAGCAAATCTCGTATGATCTCATTGTATATCTCATACATGCCAATCTTAACATGGGCCGAGGTTCCTACATGGACATGAACATCCAATAAAAGAAGCAATTTCAAATGATGACCTTAATCATAAGACAGCCAGCAAAGTACAGCCAGGCTTACGGACAGGATTCAGTGAAATGCCAACAAAAACTGTACTCAGTAACCTGAGTACAATATATGTTTACATTTATTTATAACTGAAATATATTTCTGTTTTTTTGAAGGGAATCAGGGAAGGGCGGTGGTATTCTCTGACTTTCATCATCATAACTATCCGTATGCGTACTCAATTTCCAACCACAATGCTATTTTTCCTGCCAAGTACCGGTAAAACTATCTAGGGTTTATCTGCTTCCCCTAAACAGGGGGGCTGAAAGCACACTTGGAAGGAATCCTTGGGTTTATGGAACATTTTAGATGTACAGTACATGGTTAAAGTTGCACTAAGTAATTCAGAAGCTACTTTTAACACAAGGTCAAATATTAACTTAAACTCTTTTGCTTTTCTAATAATGGCAAAAACTTCAATATTGGAGTTTGTGAACTCCAATACTGCAAAATCCAAGACAGAATCAGAAGTCCAAAGCTCCAGGCATTGCCATAAGCACATCACAGAGAAAAGGCTTACCCATTAACAATACCCAAATCGAACACGGCTTTGGCTGGGGCCGGAGATACAAGTCTTACCATTATCATGCAACCTGTCTACCTCGTTGAAGAGATCCTTCAGCATCATCTGTATGATACCAGGCTGGCCGGTTCCCTCCCCTGCCAACGTGTAACTCTTGCCAGACCCACTCTCGCCAAAGCACAGCACGCAGCAGTTGAAGCCTGCCCCCAGGAGTTTAACCATGGAGAGTATTGCATCACTGTAAATGAACCTGTTGGTGTCTCCTTGTTTGTACAAAGTCTGAAAACTGAGAGATTCCAACACCAATAACACGGTCACTTTACTAAGACTGAAATGGATATGGTTAATACACTAATACATCAATGTTTCACAGAAATTTCAGGTTAATCAAATAAGTGCCTCGTGGAAACACCCACAATCCTTTGCGGGCTGCTAGGACAGGTCTTGTGATGGGTCATATTGTACGAGGACATATAGCCTGTCCAAATATGGTAATATTCCAGACTGATTATAGGCCTATGAACCCTCCTATTGGACTACTCAATCCAAGACATTGCCATTTAGATCAAGCAATAGGGCCTATACACGTACACGTACTTCAACACTGACTCACTTTCTAGTGACTCGCTTTTCAGTGCAAAACAAGTCAAAGCTGAGATAGAATGAGCACTCAGTCCAGTCTGGAAGCCGAAGTGAAGCTGCCTAAGCTATTGCATTGGCAACAGTATCAGTCATGTGCTCAATACAGATTAACTATGACAAAACAACTCATAGTGCCTCAGGTGTACAGCAACTTTGTACGTGTACCTTGGGTGTGCTTGTCCATGTGCACCTGAATACGATCCTGAACTCTCACTGCCAACAGATGTCGAGGGCCGGATTCTTCCAAGAACTGTCACATTCATTGTCCTGATAGTTCGACATGAATAAAGGTGACTGTCAATAATGATTGTGTAGTAACCTCCCACGAGACGCCAAAAAAAATAATAATCATGGTCGAGGGGAAGCGAATGGGAAATTTTTCATATGTAACACTTTTACTACAAGCAAAGGTTAGCGCTGTAGGTTTAGGGCGGGCCCTACATCATGGTATTTGCAACTTTAGACATCTGGAAATATCCAGCTCTTACAGGCTCATGACATGGGGAGATTTGAGCACTAGCAGCTATCAGCAGTGTCACGTTAGGTGAGTGTGTACTTTGCTTTCCTGGCTCCCTGTACTGCTCTGGTAATCCAGCTGCTGGTAACTAACCTTGCTTTTGCAGAGCTCACTCCATTCTAGCACTAGCAGTCAGTGTCATGATCACATTGGCACACATGTACATGTACACTTTGATCGACCAGATGGGCGATTTCTCAGCAATCCCATTATGTTGTAAAGAACCGTAAGGTTTACACAAATCTTTCAGGTAGGCCTAGCTAGCCTATGTACACATTTTGGTGTTCATTCACCATTAGCACTCTGTTCCTATAATAAGGAAACAAAGTAAACAACTTACCTGAATTAGTTGGTGGTGATTTCCTCTTTCATATCAGAAAGAAAAGAGGGACGAGCATTGGTTTTTGAGGGAAATTATGGGGTAAAACAGCTACGTAAAATTTGCGACAAAGAGCTGTGAACGAAGACAGATTTGCGCATGTGGTCTGGTTCCTTGACCTGGAACCATAAAAGTTTCTTTAAGAAAATTCAGTATATCCACAATGGCTGGGTCGGGTATTCAGACGTGAAACAAACTGGTGTGATTAATGGTTATGCGGTCTTCTTTTGCCGAACTCGGGTAAAAAAATTCTGGTTTTCTTGCTTATATAAATATATATTGTCAAAATTTACCAAAACTAGAGCTACTAGGATTAAGGAATGGATCCTCAAAGTCTGAGTGCTAGTTAGATTGAAAAAGTGGACTTCGTTTTGTTAGGCCCTAACTATGGCATCAGTCCCAATTATAGTTGGGCCCGTCCCAACAATAGTTGAGCCCGTCCCAACTAGAGCGCTACAGTTGGGCCAGCCCAACTACAGCAGAGAGGTCCTGTGTGCATGATGTGCCCAGCATGTGCCACAGTCATATTGTTTACAAATGTTATGTCATCGGTCATAGGGCTAGAGGGACAGATGTTTTAGATGAATTGTGTCAAGTGTGAGACACATTGACTTGGATAATGTTGACACATTTCCCACAGACATTGGTCAACAATAGTTGGGCCAGCCAAACTGCAGCACTGCAGTTGGGACTGTCCCAACTATAGTTGGGACTTATGCTATAGTTAGGGCATAACACTATTAGGAACAGGGTGCTAAGATCATGAAGGTAATGAACGCCCACATTCTGGCTGCTTCGCTTGTGCCAATTAACTTACTCTGCCATCACAGCTGTTTGTGCAGCCAAATTTCATACATTCCTTCTTATAACCTCTTTCTCTCAACAGAAAAATCAGCAGCATGTCATCTCACACAGCTTGACCAGTTGGCATGGTTGATCAATCACAACACAAACTGACGACATTGAAAGTTAACATGGTCAAGGTCTTTTTTACCTTGCTCTTTTCTTCAGTTTGGCAAGAAACTACAAATCACACCACTGGTTTAACCACTTTTGCAACCTACCTGATATTTCCTTGGATAAAGATTTAAAAACCTCAAAAAGTCAGGCCTACATCATTCACATCGTTACGGTTGCTACGAGATGATATCAGAAGAAAATCCGGCAAAAAAGTGCGTCTCCACGCCACGCTCCAGGTTACCAAAATAATAAGTATGTTAAATAGCGCCCTCTATTGACACGATACACGAGTGAAATTGTTCATTCAACTGGTACCGAGAGGGCCTATTTTTATTTTACTCAGGCGTCGTCACGGTCTCTGAAACCAATCCCCGATTGGGGGCCTGAAGCGTTGAAATTAAACTGCAGTACTGTAATATTTGGCTCATTTGCTTCTTATTTGGTTTGTTGCGGCACTTTAAAACTTACTACTGCGCTTACAACTTCAAAGTCAAATACGTGCTTCCGGTTTCCCGACCGACCCTAATATTACGTAGCTGACTAGCGTTGTGCAAACCCGTGTGAATTGTCCATAATTCTTAAGACTTATAGGCTGCAGAAATATTATAGATTAAGGCAAGTTTTCATCACTTTTTGTGGCAATTTTGGAAGCTTTTGTCATCATTCGTGCCATTCAGTCAACACAAAAAAATCGCCCCCCCCTAAAAAAAATTAACAAATTCCGACCTACCGACCCTATTTTTCAGAGGCATATAAGCAGAACTATTTTTTCTTGGCCTAATCAGTTGCAGTGTTACTGTTCCAAAGGAAAGATTTCACCGCATTGAAACGCTAAAGAGTGAAGACTTAGTTGCATTTATAGGTATTTTTCTTTCATGTCAGCTACACTTTCAAAGTTCATGTCAGAGTGGAAAGGTCACCGAACTTGAAGATTAACTGCAACTAACCGAAACTACTATTGTAGAGATTTCTATTGAAATTCTGACTTCGAAAGGATCAAGTAAAGCAACGCGGTGCCATTGTAATAGACTGCCACTTTAGCAACCTCCCTTATTGGGTTTATTTGGAATAAGAACTCAAGGGCGATAGCAAATAAAAGATAATTATTCATGCCATTATAATGATATTGGGAAGATAGGGACCTGCCGTCAGTTAACGTCGGTTGTTTTCAACATCATCTGCCTTCACATTAGTGCCCAAATGCTTGTGAAAAACCTTAATGTTGAAAGCCAGGATGACATTGGCACAGAATCGCCCTTTAACGCTGGGTCAGGTCCCCACCCATGAGAGAGGACCCCAGGCATATATGTCACTGTTTCAGACTTGCATAATGTAGAATTGAATTCAAAACTTCATAATTAGGCCGCGTAAAATTTAAAAAATTGGGATAATCCCCGCCCGACCCTCAAAAATGGCTCCCACCACGGACGT